AAATTCTACATTATTGCCTTCACCACCATCTACGTTCTTTACAAGACCCTCAAGGCGATGCGCTTCATCCTTGTGCCCACCACAATCCTCGTCGGCAACTGCCTTGTCAGCTTGGCCGTACTAATTCCTCCCGTCGTCGGGTTCTTCATTTTGCTTCTCACCCCAAGAGTATTTCGAGTTGCATTCGAAAGAAGCCTCAGAACATTCTTTTCCACGATGCGGAATGTTTGGGAGTATCTTGCAATGCCAAGCATCCTTACATGCCTCGCCATGATCAGATTCAGGGCTTGCCAAGCAATAGAAATGGTGAAGGAAAATGTCATTTCTACAGACGACGAGCTACGTGAGACCACAGGTCCTGAATTCCAATATCCTGGCATAACAGACGGAGACACAACTGGCATCCAACCCAGTGATACTGGCGCAGAACGACGGATGAGACAGTTGGTCGAGGAGGACAATATCAGAAGACATGCTCAAGGCGAGCCGGATCGGACTGCTGAGGCAGAAAACAAGAGGACTGAAATCGAGAATGAGAGAATGAGACTCGAGAATGAGAGAATGAAACTCGAGAATGACAGAAAGAGAGTCGAGAATGAAAGGACTGGCTTAGTCTGGGAGGGTCTTCAATCAAGAGGGCCAGCAAACCGTCAACGCCTCCAAGAGATGACTCGCCAGAGACTGCTTGCTCCTTTCAGACCTGGCGAGGCAAGAGTAGCTGGAAGCTTTAGAGCCATTGACTCTGTATCTCTGCCTCCGGCACATGAGCCCGCTCCGGGGCCTTCAACTGCTCCGGGACCCTCAATTGCATCGGGGCCTTCAACTATACCGGGACCTGTAACCATACTGGGAGCTTTAACTGTACTGGGGCCTCTAACTGTACTTGGAAATTCAACTACACCAGGACCTTCAACTACACCGATACCTTCTCCTGCACCAGGACCTTCTCCTGAGCCCGCTCCTCCTCTCACGCCGGTCACTCCTCTTACACCGGCTCCTCCTCTTGCGCCGGCTCCTCCATTAGCTCCGGCCCCTGCTGATACAAGACCAATTCCAAGAGGTCAAGACATCAAAATAGCCTGGAGAGAAGGATGGTATAACACCCTACGGCCGAGACCTACCGTGGTCAAGAATGCGAGCACACAAACGGAGCCAACAGATCTTGCTAGCCATGGCACAAAGACCAAGCCCTTAGAGCTACCCCCCCGAACATACGTCAGCCGGGTCGTACAGACTGACCCGCTGGAATCTCCTGTCCAAGAAGAGCCCGAAGCCCCAGTATTTGTGCCAGAGCTTTCAGTCCCAGAGCTGAGTCCAGATCCAGCTTCGCCTGAGGACACACAGACGTCTCTCGATAAGGGAAAGGCTACCGAGGGCCCCGAGCCAACAATCAACGCCAATTTGGTCATTATCCATGAAAACAGAGCTGAAGACGAAGTAAAGGAGCCAGAATACTCTGCTGTATCCTCACATCTTCCAGCCTCTATCACACTTCCCGACTCGCCTGAGCCTACAGCTGATGCCGAACATGAGTCGGTACAGACTCATGCTACCGGCCACGACCGTCCCACCGTTATTCACACATCTGTTCCAGCTTTGCTGAGGTCTACACGAATACCTGTGGTAAATTCAAGACCGTCTATTTCAGGGACTTCGAGGCGAAATGAACGGGGGCCCAAGTCAAACGAACATAATGGCACACATCACCAATCACGAAGGGATGCTCCTACTAGAAGTAGTAAAAAGGCTGATAGGAAAAGGTATGAAGAAAAAAAGGAAAAAATGTACAAGATGTCCATGGGGCTGTTGGACGGACAGCTTCCTAGTTCATTCAAGTCTCTGGAGACTCAGCAAGTCATTGATACTACTACCACATCAGCCAGCGTCCCTATTTACTCCACAGGCATCTCACATGATAACTCGAAACACGATATCCAAAGAAGCCCTGTCGTTAGACATCCACCTACCGCTGAGCTTCCTTTGCCAAAGACTACTAAACCTTATGCTACTCTAGAGAATACATCTGTCTCGAATGTTTCGACTAGTGGTCTGGCCTCGGGAGCCCAAGATGACCAAAGCGAAGCCTCTCTTCAGACCTTTCCGAAGCCCTGTTCAAGCGTCGTATCCGCCGAGAATGAGACTTTCACGGAGTGTCAATCTACTACAGTATACCCAAGGACTGAGAGCAGCCAACAGGCTATAACTGAAGCTTTGATTAGAGCTTGTGAAAATGTTTCTAAAGAGACATCACTGCTCAAAACCAATGAAGATGGGACATATCTGCCCCCTGCTTCCACTCAGCTCCCTTCAGACACACAGAGCCACTCTGTGTCTGAAAGCACAACTATGGGGCAGCTACCCAGCTCTCCTGGTACTAGCTCCATTTCCATACTTCGGGACATTGAAGGCATACAGACCACGGTCGATCCAATACTCGCACCATTCACCTCTCATGGATACAACGAATCTGATGAAGAGATATATGACGATAGCCTCGATGGCCATGATATTGTCGAAAATCAACAAGAAAGCTTGATCGGAGTACCAGAAACACCAACCGCAAGAACAAATCCTCAGGACAGTGACGAAGAGATGGCTTCCGAGCCTGGTGTAAGTATACCGGAGGAGCAAACCCTCCTAAGATCTACAACGGATGATGCTCAGATGACCGATGTATGGCGCCCAAATGAAGAGCAAAGTAGAATGATAGGAGATGCAGCTCAGGACCTGTTTAAAGACCTCATGGACGAGGATGACGAAGGCTCCTCGGAAGACACAGAACTAGAGAGAGATCTGTCAATGAGCGAGATAGCAAACGAGGATCAAGAGGCAAACCTCGAAGATGCTGATATGCAGGATACGCAGTCGAATGCGCCGCCCGCCCGTACCGTCAACATCCCCTTCTTGTTTCAACTACCAGAGGTCCTGACTATCCAGGCAGGGATGACTGAGGAGGAGAAAGAGCTTGCACAGATGGTCGTAGATGCGTATGAGAACGACAACCCAGTCACACCCACACAGGATGCTCAGCCTCCTATAGACAATGATCCTCTCTCTGATCCAGCGGTGAAAGCTACCGCCGAACAGCTCGCTACCCGAAAGATTGCGAAACCGGTGTCGCGAGCACATAAGAAGGCTCGCGCGGCCCAATCAACCCTTGAGTCAGTGTCACAAGGGCAACCCCATACACAGCCAGAAACATTACAACCAACGCCCTCCCAGGTAAGTGAAGACAGTAGAAATGATGTAGCGGAGATGGACTCGGCGGCTCGCGGTCTATTAGCCCTCGCAGCTGCTGAGGGCATTGTTGTCGGGAATGATACTTCAAACCAGGCAGTGTCTCCTTCAGGCGAGGACTCTAGTCATAAGGATACTGACTCCCAGCAGACTGATGCCCATGTCACAAACAGTCAGAGTGCTAGTACTCATGAGACTAACGTGCAGGAGGCATCCATCAGTGACCCTGAGGTCGAAGGGCCAACGGCAACGACCCTGCCGGAGGAAAAGTCTGAACCAAACCCGCAACAACCTCAAAGCGCCTCTGCATCTGTCTTACCAGCTGAAAGCCAACCCTCACCTGTTCAGTCAACGCCCACTCAAACACCGCCAGCGCAACAACCACCAGCAGCCGAAAGCACAGCCGCAGCTCAGCAAAACACTCCTGTCACGAATGAGTCACCCCCCGTAGCGGGACCCAGCAATACGCAACAACGGCCAAGGATTGCCCCCGAGTTTATAGGCGGACTGGCAATTCCAGGGGGTAACCCAACGCGTTATAACCCAACAGCAACGACCACACCAACACCCGAGAAATCTGGCCCCGACCCTGAGGAAGTTGCAGAGTTCAACAGGAAAAAACAGGCACAACTGAGGAAACCAAGGCAGAAGAAGCCACCCAATGTCTTTATACCGCCGAGACGGTCTGCCCCAGTTCCATCGACACCTAACAGACCTCAGAAGAGTCCCAACTCTTCCACTCAAGGACGGTCGCCATCACTAACGGCCAGCAACGAGGGCGATGAGAACAGGAAGGCTGAGCTAGAGGTGACGTTTGGTACTCCAGGTTCTGCTAAAAAGAAACAAGGCCTACAAATTGTTGACATCAGGGACATCCCGGATCACATAAGAGCTCAGATGCGGGACCATGATGCTAAACAAGGCTAGAAAAAAGAGGCAGACGAGGACGAAGGAGACCAGAGGCAGAGACCGAAGGAGGACAAGATACCATGAAACGTAAGCCAAGCAAAAGTTTGCTTGTGAAAGAGTCCACGGGTATAAATAGATGTGTGTGATTGGTATTCAGACAAGTATGAACAGTCTGTTTACCTAATAGTGAACTTCTTCTATTGAGCTAGTATGAACAAGCGAGTATGGCTAAGTTCCTGAGAAACGTGGCACGCGAATACCAACATTGTACCAGTTTTGAAATATATTATGCTTTTTATTTTATAGTGCATCGCACGGGGTACCATTGCATTCCTAAGACTCATGTATAAGTGCCTATCTACTATCTAGGTATCTGCTCGTCTGGACGTTGTAACATCTCAATACTGTAACTCGCTGGGGACATCAAACTTGAGAGGCAAAGTTCGAAAGGAGGGACATATGAAGGAAGCCTCAGAACAATGATGGATCATGACTAGCCAATTGCCCAGGTAGAAGCATGGCTGACTCGAGAGTCCTGGAGTTTGATGCCATGATCTTTGTACTGTGAGCCTCTGGGCGTAGGTGGATACACATTGTGCAGACAATGGATCCCTCAAAAGGGTTTGGCCAAAATGGCATGAAGAATCTGCCCCAGATCTCTGGTTTAGGTTACTATTAGACATAAAGCCTATATCGTGAAGGATATCAGATGTGATGTTTGAATGTAGTTTATTGCTCCGCTGGATCAACCATCCAGACGGGAGTTGCTAAATCATGATAACAATGCTACCCAAACTCCATCCCGAGCAGTCTATTCTACTCAGAACACTCTACGCGAGTCCGTGTCTGTCTGCTTAGCAGCATCCCTCATCGCAGGCGCAGAGACCACAGCAGATCTCACAGCCAGCCTCCTCACCACCACGCATGGTCATGTCAGGCTGAGGCTCAGCGCTCTTTATACGTGTTAGTCTATGAAGCATGGAGCCTTGCCTTGCGTACGATGCAACTTACAGGCTGCTGTGTGACGATGTCTCCGTTATCAGAGGTCATGGGGGCTTGCTGAGTGGGTTCCATGGCGGCGGGCATCTTGAATGATTTGAGGGAGATCGAGTGATGGATCTGGATAAAAAGAGGACAGGTAGTGAGTGGATGATGAAGTAGAGTTGTTCGTTTGTTTGTTTACTGCTGTCTGTGTGTTGTATTGTAGCAAGTCTGTAATCCCACAGCTAGGAACGGGCTCTTAAGTACCTTGAGCCAACTGAGAGGCCTCTCTCTGTTCACTGAAACTCAGCCACTCGGTCCCAGGAGCTCCTGTCGTTGTCTACATTCTTGATTGGCCTCACCGTATGATTCCTGTTAATTCAGCTTTGACCAGAGACTTCTGTGACGTACGCTTGAGATGCCGAGTAGCCGTCCAGGCCTGAGATACTGTCTGCGGGAGCAGCCGTAGGGAGAGTGTTCTGGCCAGGGTCCATACTATTAAGGATACTATGTATAAGACATACGGCAAACCGACGCCGAGTATGGTTTCGTCCAGGCACGCCATTCGCCAATGATAGGGCCCAGAGCCGTCAGCAAGCCATTAACCGGCACGGTCACTGCCGAAAGATGCGGTGCCGAACTTCCGGAACGCCCGCATTCCACATTTATGCAAGCCTCAAAAGCTTGAATAGGCAATACGACAAACAGGGATAGTAAGAGAGACGCAGACGCAGACACAGACGCAGACAAACAAACACCACGCAAGCCATAAAAACTAAGCCACCGAGAGTCCGAGGCAGAGGGACAACAGATAAGAATACCCAGGCACATAAATTCTTCAGGCCGCTAATAAACAAGGTGTGATAGCTAAAATTAAATGTAAAGGGTGAAACGAATAACCAAAACCACAAGCTTAAGGTAATGGTTTCAGAGAGCCCGTCCGAATTTACTATTGGAACCGCTAGTAATGTAGAAGCAGATTAAAGGCTGCAACACATCAATTGTCAGATTTGAAAAGCGTTCCGTGTGACCCCCCCCCCTCAGAGTCAATAGTCAATAGCCAAACCAAATGTCAAGTTATCCTTAGAGTTAGCATAAACGACGCGCATTAGAGTGTAGCACTGTAGCAATCACTTATGCCACTTCACAAAAGGCAACTCGAGAGCAGCATAAGACGGGCAACAAATCGATTCTTCTCGACTCTTCGTTCCCCCGGCAGCTCATCCCATTGTCATTTCCAGACCTGAGTGCCTTGATTTCTTGTCCTTTATTTTACTTTGTTTAGTATTTTGAGAGCCTAGCAGCCTTGAAACGACTGACTGGCTCCCGTCCACCATCTTGCTCCTCCAGAGGTTGTATCGGAGATTCATCTTCCTTGAGGAACCCACCTTCTCGTTGGATGAACTTCTTTCGAAGCTTGTGGTGCTCATCAGCGACCTCTTGATATATCAACTCATCATCGAATTCATCCGGTGGGTGAGGAGCAGCGCGTATGGATTCGCGCTCAACTAACGTGTCAGCGAGTGTTATTCCTTCAGGACCCGTAGGTGCCGTGGGCCTGTCTTGATCTAAGAACTTGGCGGGGACATCGAGAGGGCCCGGTGGAACAGTATCTCTGGCCTTCTTGAATCTCGATGGTTTGCGCGTCGACTTGATTTCAGATGTATCGGGAGCCTTGGCAGTGCTGGAGCGCTCAACAATTTTGTCGCTCAATGGTTCCACAATCGGTTCCTTTTCCTTCACAGGAGCTTCTCTCACTGGAAGGACAGTGGGCTCGTTCTCCGGTGCGATATCAAGATTGGAAGCAAAGCGAACGCCCTTCTTGCCGTTGGGCTGTTCTGGTTGCTTCTCTTTGATGTTTGACTTGGTAGGCGCAGGTTTCGAGGCTGAGGATGATGATGTTGTTGTCGCCGAGGCAGGCTTGACTACGATACGGCCAATGCCTTCTTCGTCATCCGAACTTGCGTCACCATCCCTATCTTCTGGCTGCTCGGTGAAGCGGGATTTGATGCCCAGTTTCTTCTCTAATTCCAGCATTCTTTGACGGTAATCATCCGTCACAACGCGGCCAGTATACCGACCGTATTTGTCTTCCTGATCGTCGTCATCATCCTCAAAACCTTCATCACTGTACTCATATTCGTAGTCGTCGCTGTCTCCCTCTTCGAGCTGCAGCTCGGCGACAACAGCACCAACTTCTCCCGAGTATTCGAGCATCTGCCGCCGCAAGTCCGCGTCCTCCTCATCCTCATCTTCGGGGATGTACGCTTGCTCGTTGCTGATCTTCTCCTGCTCCTTGGCATGATTCATGATCTCTTCAACACGCTTAGCATTCCGCGAGACTTGGGGCTTTGGGCCGTCTTGCATTTTAGTTTCTGCAGCAAACACCACACCTTTAGTGGCGGATGGTGCTAGAGTCGTGGATTCAAGCTCTGTATGCTGGGAAGGACTTTCTTGGGAATGCTCTGCTTCCTTTTGTTTAGAGCTCTCGGCTTTTGAGGCTGAGTTGTCATCATCGAGATCGTCAATACCGGCCTTCTGAAGGGCATCTTGAATCTTAGGTAAGGCAGTGTCAGGCTGGTTAAGCTTGTAAGAGATGACGTTGTCATCATCATCAAGCTGCTCGATGATTTCTGTGATAGGCAGACCGTCGTCTTCAGTAAAGTCGGCTTGACTTTCGTCTAGCTTGGTCTCAGCAGCGCTGATTTGTTTCTGTAGCGATGTGATATTCGTGGTAACGTAATCGATGCGCCGGTCAAGAATATTCAAAATCTGTTCGCCAGATCGATGTGTCCTCTCACCAAAGATCTCATCAAGTTCACGATCTTTCAGAAGCTCTCCTTCGAATCCGGCATGAATAGTCTTAAGCTCTGTCTCGCCATCTTTGCATACGGCTTCGACCTCTTCTTTGAGCATCTCATACTCAACATGCCAGGTCTGCCAATGCTTCAGGGCATTCTGCAGCTTGCTAAGATCATCTTCCAGCTGCCTTTGTTGCTTATCAAAGTCCGAGACCCCTGCCATTTTTCTAATCCGGTGCAACTTTTATGACGCTGCGATAGAAGGAGATAGAAGAGGAAGAAAGTTTGTGAGGCGTTGAAGTCATGATGAATGGTCCAGCCTCTCCACTAAGAAAAAAAAAGTTAGGAACCGGCCTTTGAAGATTGGCGGGCTAACTTCGGCTATCAATCTGGCTATATCTCACTGTCAACGTTTGCCCCACCACAACCAACATCTGCCCGCTAATTCAAGCAATGGCGATCGATAACGACCTAGCGATCTCAGCCTTAGCGTTATGCACGCCCTTCAGGTCAAAGGCATTAATCGCGGGGTGCACCAAGACAGTAACGAGGTGAACTTCACGCTGTCTGTTATGGCATTAACAGATAGTGCCATCTTTGGCTACGAATCCTGATAGAGCATCAACATGCTCAAATGTGGGCAAACATGTAATACATCGGCCTGAATCCCTCCGACCAGCCTTGTTACATGCCAGATGCACTTCCATATATCCAAGAAATTATAAGACGACGTATGGCGGTACCTGCCTGTTGAGTTATCCCCCCCACACGCAAACGTCGCTGTATTAAAGCAAAAGGTCTTTCGCCGTGGGCTGACCTGCAGCTTCGTTCACTACCTATACACTGATCACCAACAGAACAGTCTTTACTACCTACACATCTAAGCCTATCTGTGCCTATCTCAGCCATGGCAGAATGCAATGAAAGCAAGACTCTTGAAGCCAAGTGCTACTGCGGCTCTGTCCATTACACAATCGATGTACCGGTTTCGAAACTACCTCTACTCACCCATCTCTGCCATTGCAGCCTCTGCAGGTATGGCTCTGGTGCGCCATGCATCTTCCATGCTCCGCTGCCCGATGGTGTGAAGCCCAAGTTCGTGGAGCCATCCTCCAGAAGCAACATGACCAGCTACGCCATCGGGAAGAAGATCGGAACATGGAACTTCTGCTCAACGTGTGGTTGTCACATTGCTTCGACAGGGCCGCCCGAGAACGAGTTCTGGACAGTTGCTTCATCAACATTCGTGAATGCTTCAGACTCCTTTGATGTCCGCAAGCACATCTTCAGCAACTCCACAAAGGACCGGGGCATCGCCGAAGCCCTGACACATTCTGGTGGAAAGGAATTCATCGACTGGAACCCTTCTGACGGTAGCCCCGAGGCAAAGATCGTTGAATCTCATGTGGAAGTTGGGAAAGACGGGGAAGAGCGTCTTCGTGTGGAATGCGAGTGTAAAGGCATCTCTTTCACCATTTCCCGGCCAAGCCAAGAGATCAAGGAGGACAAATTCTATTCGCAATTTGTTTCGCACAGAGATGATACCAAGTGGCTTGCGACTTTTGACGCATGTGATGATTGCCGGCTTCACAATGGGACTAACGTTGTGGGATGGACATTTATCCCCTTATCCATATGCGAACCCCGTATCAAAGACGACCTACTCATTGGGACTGCCAAGACGTTCAAGTCGTCGGACGATGTGGTGAGATCCTTCTGCGGCACTTGCGGCGCCACCATTTTCTTCTCCCAAGCTTGTCGAAGGCCGTCTGAGAACCATCATGTTGTCGACTTGGCTACGGGTATCATCAGAGCGCCTGAAGGTGTCATGGGAGAGAAGTGGCTCACTTGGCGAGCAAGGTTGGCATGGGCTGATAGCGGAAAGAGATTCGATAGTGACTTTACCGAAGCCCTACAAGAAGGCATGAACAAGTGGGTGTTGAAGAGAGAAGGTCTTATTGACGATTACAATATCGGTTGAGGGCTCCGATATTCGGAGGTCTCCCGAAGGACAATGCATGTTAGTCTTGGGGTTGTCAGGTGTTTGTTGGCAAAGTGACAACGATTCACAGCTGCATGATTAAAGTTCAACTGTCAGAATAATAGCAAATATCTATTCCTATATTTCCTAAAGAAATTTCATACAAACTTCCGTTGGCCATGGCTATGAATCCAATCAGCGGCATTCACCTCCCGAAGCCCGTCCTATCACTAAGTTCTTAGCGGGATACACCCCGAGTCTGGTGTGCGGCGACATCGCTTTATGAGCCCAAATCTCTATTCAGCAAAGTCGAAAAAGCTAAT